ATGTCTTTACTACAATTACATGAATGTTACCTTAAATATCTTTGTTACCTTTTAAATATCGTTGTTACAGTTAAAAAAATCTTGGTAACATTTTAAATATCTTTGTTACCTTTTAAATATCTTTTTTACATTTCAAATACCTTTGTTACATTTCAAATACCTTTGTTACCTTTTAAATATCTTTGTTACATTTTAAATCTCTTTAGTACCCTTTAAATACCTTTGTTACCTTTTAACTATCTGTGTTACCTTTTAAATATCTTTGTTACACTTAACCTGTGTGTAACCTGAGAATACAAGCGGGTTACTACAAGCCTTGTCCTGTTTTATTAAACACACCTTGTGTTATATTGCTCCGGGCTCCTCCCTGCTCCCATGATTGAAACTTGTGACAGAGAGCAAACGTCACTGTCGCTACGTTACCGCCACGCTTGGCCGAACACCGCCTCGGGGTACTCGTTTGGTGTGAGGCGGGGTCTAAAAATAGCTCTGATGAGACGCCGTGATGTCACGCTTAGTGCGGGGATGGTTTTTGCTGGTTTCCGTTATGTTAATGGCAGTTATATTTAGATCGGGATGATTTGTTTTGTCGTCCCCGTTATGTTGGTCCAGTGAAATTAAAATTAAAAAAATGTAGTTGAAATGAATTCGATCCCCACGGGAAGAGACCAGATTTAGAGGAGTACACTGGAAATAGATATTTGAAACAAAACTGAGGAAACTCCCCTACACTGTATTTTCCCATATGTTTTCTCACTATACTAAAGTCTACCACCCGTTGTTAAGGTTAGATAACCCTCATTAGTGCGTATTGCCTGTACACGGTCACTAGATTAGATGCCTATTGTTTAAACTTATAAGGTTGGTGTATTTTAAGATTACATCGATATTATACAGTATATGAGCTGGTAGGTTTTCATGTAAAAAAAATGTTATCTTATGCAAGCCTTGGTAATCGTTGGAAATAATCAGTGGAGTATTATACGTGTATAGAGAGTATATCAGCCGATGCGTGTTCTATCTTGTGTGTTTGATTAGGCTGTTGGATATGATAAGTAGGTCCAAAAGTATAAAGGTTGGGTGCACAGTTTTGTAAGTAGTGGTTGTTGATGTGGTGCAGTGGGTTGTTGGTGTGGAACAGTGGGTTGTTGATGTGGTACAGTGGGTTGTTGATGTGGTACAGTGGGTTGTTGATGTGGAACAGTGGGTTGTTGATGTGGAACAGTGGGTTGTTGATGTGGGTTGTTGATGTGGAACAGTGGGTTGTTGATGTGGTACAGTGGGTTGTTGATGTGGTACAGTGGGTTGTTGATGTGGAGCAGTGGGTTGTTGATGTGGTACAGTGGGTTGTTGATGTGGAACAGTGGGTTGTTGATGTGGAACAGTGGGTTGTTGCTGTGGAACAGTGGGTTGTTGATGTGGAACAGTGGGTTGTTGATGTGGGTTGTTGATGTGGAACAGTGGGTTGTTGATGTAGAACAGTGGGTTGTTGATGTGGGTTGTTGATGTGGAACAGTGGGTTGTTGATGTGGAACAGTGGGTTGTTGATGTGGTACAGTGGGTTGTTGATGTGGAGCAGTGGGTTGTTGATGTGGGTTGTTGATGTGGAACAGTGGGTTGTTGATGTGGAACAGTGGGTTGTTGATGTGGAACAGTGGGTTGTTGATGTGGAACAGTGGGTGGGCGATGTGGAACAGTGGGTTGTTGATGTGGAACAGTGGGTTGTTGATGTGGAACAGTGGGTTGTTGATGTGGAACAGTGGGTTGTTGATGTGGAACAGTGGGTTGTTGATGTGGAACAGTGGGTTGTTGATGTGGGTTGTTGATGTGGGTTGTTGATGTGGAACAGTGGGTTGTTGATGTGGAACAGTGGGTTGTTGATGTGGAACAGTGGGTTGTTGATGTGGAACAGTGGGTTGTTGATGTGGGTTGTTGATGAGGGTTGTTGATGTGGAACAGTGGGTTGTTGATGTGGAACAGTGGGTTGTTGATGTGGAACAGTGGGTTGTTGATGTGGAACAGTGGGTTGTTGATGTGGGTTGTTGATGTGGGTTGTTGATGTGGAACAGTGGGTTGTTGATGTGGAACAGTGGGTTGTTGATGTGGGTTGTTAATGTGGAACAGCGTGTGGTTGATGTGGAACAGTGGGTTGTTAGTATAGCACACTGACGTGTTGGTAGGGAACAGTGAATAGTTGATATGGAACTTTGGGTTGTTGATAGGGAACTGACGTGTATTCATATGCAACAGTGACTTGTTGATATGCAACAGGGACATTAACAGAACAGAACCACTTTTGTAGTCCCCCTGTTAATTCTCATCGATCGAACAACTTGCTGCACTAGACATCAGCATAAAAACTAGACAAGACATTAGCATGATAAAGCGGTATAGCTGAACCTAGCCTTATTATTGGGGCAGACATGTTTAATAAAGGCCTACAACTCAAGAGTAGGTAACTCTGGGTGATAGCAGGTTTTAAGGTCACAAGAGTTTCTGTACCTGGTGTGTTTCATGTGTTCTAAAAATAGATTGGTTTTGTCGCGCCCGTTTCAAAGCCTACCCAACGTCATTAGTTACCATAAACCATACACCACCATATTATGCTACTAGTACTGCCAGATAATGTACTAGACTACAGATGTACTTTTTCTTTGTTTTACTACAGGTCTAACTACTTTGGTGTAGCCCAAACACTACATTGTCTTACCAGTTCCTATAACTACTGTTGATAGTACTATAGTATTTCTTTGACTGTCCGTGTATTCAACATATCGTTTGCTTTGTGTACAGTTGTATCCCAAACATTGTTCTTAAATTAAGCTCAAAGACATATATTGGCACATATATATATATAAATTAAAACAAAATAAATATATATACACACACACACACACACACACATATATATATATATATATATATATATATATATATATATATATATATATATATATATATATATATATATATAAAATTCTACCGCTCTTTGCTAGACTATATGAACATGCTTTTGGCCTTATTATTATACTCAATCATTCTGTCTATTCTGTATGTTACATACTGTACACCCAGCCCACCGGAGCTGAACCATATCCACCATACGTTGACAGACTGCAGGCTGACATTGACGTAGTTGTCACGCCATCTTGAGACAGGTGTTGTGTACATACTACTAGGTGTACCGTACACAACCGCTGGGGTGTGACCTTGACATTGCCGGATCCCTGTGATATTGGAATATCTATCTTCTATATATATAATTCTCTTCTTCGAGCCGTTAGAAAACAAGCTGCAAACGCTCTCCCTACCTCCCCACCCCTACATGGTTTTAGTGAGCTGTGTTCACTCTAAATGTTTACAAGCAGAGCCAACGATTTTAAACGTAGGGGGGGGGGGGGGAGGAGGGGGGAGGGAAGGAAGGGGGGGAGGAGGGGGGGGGGGGAGGGAAGGAAGGGGGGGGGGGTTATTATGGTCCTTAACGAGCTACTTATAGTGTTTTAAAGAAATATTTTCAGTGTCAGCGTTGGTACTGTCGAATTCACAAATTATGAATTATTGAAAATTAGAAACAACTAAATAGCGGCGTATGTTATGCCGCGGGCCGGCTCGTTGTCCTTAAGCCTTGTGAGAGATAGGTCACGTGGCGTGAACCATCACGTGACATGCGGATATCTCAATACCAGCTCCATATATGGGGACTCGTTTCTTTTTTTTTTTTCTGCGTGATGTTGTATGTTGGTATCGGGAAGTTCCGTTCTTTGATGTCACTGACACCCCAGCATACTGTGACCTGTCATCTGACGTGTCGTATACGCATTGTGATGCGCGATGTATCCTGTTGTGACAGTCTACCAATGGACGCGTGGTGTGATCAGTGCCAGGTGGTTTAATTAACCCGTTGGTCATTAGGGTTGGCTCCTAGGTCATGTAGTTGAGAGTGTTAAATCGCTATAAGTAGGTCACCGTTTTTTTTAATATAAACTGTGGTTGGTCGGTCAGATTAGTTACTAATATTAGAGGTCTCGTTTAAAGGTCACAGAAGATGTACAAAGGTCACAGGTCATTAAAATTACAGGTCATCTACTAAGGGCATATATAATTTTCTAAGGTCAAGGGTCATGTACAAAGGCACCGGGTCGTGTATACAGGTCACTGGTCATTGAGGTCACTTGTCATGTACTTTGGCCACGGGGTCATATACAAAGGTCACAGGTCATGTACTAAGGTCACAGGTCATGTACTAAGGTCATGAGCTGGCTAGACAGACGACTCAGGACATGACAACAAGGATGACATGTTTTGAAATGGATGACGGTTGTTGTTTGTTTCTCTCTCTAGCAAACCCGGCACACTGACATGATTGATGGAGGTGAGGGTGGGGGGGGGGGGAAGGGAGCATGATGACCAACCTGCTCCAGGCGTAATGATTTTTTAATGAGCTTAGTTTTAACAAATTAAGCTCAACCAGAAGGGGAAAAAAATTTCTTTAATTTTTTAACTTTTGGCCAGAGTTGAATGAAACTAGGTCGCCATTAACAAGATCATTACAAAATTCAAGACAGATCTTTGTAATTACTGTATTATTCAGCTCGTCTTGCAGAATTCATGTCTAGTTCTTTGCTTCAAACAATCAGCTGATGTTGTTTTTTTTTTACTTCTGTAAGTCCTGTTATACAAAAAAAAAACTACACAATTAAATATTAAATGCAACCGTTAGTTGCTGGGTGTATTGTTTACATCTTTAATACACATCAGTTTTTAAAAAAATCCAGTCCCATCTTTAACCTTCACCTAACCACAGACTTATCCTAGACTCTAAACTAAACTTTACCGAAAATTCGCGGATGCCAACTTGATCTAAAGAAACTTTGGAATTCATTGTACACATTGGGATGACTTTTATGCTGTGATCTTTGTGTTACACTGACGCTTTTAAAGTTTACGTATACAGTGAACAAACTGTACTGATTGTTTTTGTTTGTTTTTTCTGTTGACAGGAACAGATCAAGGATGAAGCACGCCCTAGAATCTTTAATCAAGACACCCCAGAACAATTTAAAGATCTGCAAGGTTAGTCTGCTACATCGTAGCAAATGGCGCCTAAACAAAGCTAGTCTTGTTCTAGTTTTTATTTTTTTATTTTTTTTAAAACTCAAACTATATAGATTTTTAAAGCTATGCACAAAACCTAGATAGGATTAAAAAAAAAATATTTAAAGAATGTGTTTGTTTTACAACGTAAATGAGATTATAAATGTATTTTTGATTATCTGTTACAACTAACTCCCATTGACGCTCACCGAAATTCCCTCAGTAAACTGATGTCTCTGTTTACATTTTAGGCTGTCAAAACCATGTTCTTGATGAAAGTTTTTACCCTTTCTCCAAACTAGACTGTAATTTGTTATTAAATTTGTCTTCTAGTTTACAATGTCCAAGGGAAGTAAGCGAATTATTATTTTTTAAACCCAAAAAAAATTCATATGCAAGGGGAAACAATCCAACATATTTACTAACAACTAATAATGTTAATGGTGTATATAGATAAATAGAAAATATTTTTAGTTTCAATCTCTGTATAGATGCTTTAAACATTATGTAGGATATTTGCTTAAATAGATAACTTAATTTTCTCTCACTAACAATATCCATTGTACCAGTCATTGAAGTTTTTTTTTTAATAAATGCTAAACTCATGATAGTTAGCCCCTCTTAGAGGTATGTTATCTATCTTCAGTAAACACTTGACATTGTTCAGATATGCTATTTAGGTAGAAGCTGTTTTTATGCTTGTGTCTGCAAAAAGCATATGTTTTAAAACCTTTTTTTTTATTTCGCTATCTTAAAAAAGATGTAAAAATATATATCTAGTTTTTTTGTTGGTTTTTTTTTATAAAAATATATTATAAAACTTATGATAAATGCAGATTATTTTGAAAACTGGTTTATCTCTTATTGATTCCTAAACAGAATGACTTTTTTTATACTTCATACCTGGATTTCAGATGACATCTAACCCATGTCCTAATATTTGCCCTTCTCCTAATAAAGGATCTTTATTTTTTCCCTGTTATATTCATCATAATGGGACCATGTTTAAAACTAGTTATTTAAATATGTAAGCTGATGATAATTGTTTCATTTTAAATTTAATAACATTAAACTTTACAATAATTTTCTTTAATTTTATTAAGTTCCTAATGCATTTTTAAAAACATAAAAATTTGTTTTATTTAAAAAAATGTTTGGAAAAAAGATGCGAAAGAAATCAAATAGTATAATTTACGTTATTTCAGAATGGAAGAGAAGTGTATGGATCTGAGATCCGGCAAGACTTAAGTGCAATATTAAAAGGCTGGTTTCCTATCAACCCCAACAGAAGGCCAGGGTAAGTTGGGTGTGGTATACAGCAAGCCTAGATTACACATGGTCTTAATTACATGTCAGGACCCATGTCTACCCCAGGTTACACATGGTCTTAAGGTCAGGACCCATGTCTACCCCAGATTACACATGGTCTTAAGGTGAGGACCCATGTCTACCCCAGATTACACATGGTCTTAATTACATGTCAGGACCCATGTCTACCCCAGATTACACATGGTCTTAATTACATGTCAGGACCCATGTCTACCCCAGGTTACACATGGTCTTAAGGTCAGGACCCATGTCTACCCCAGATTACACATGGTCTTAAGGTGAGGACCCATGTCTACCCCAGATTACACATGGTCTTAATTACATGTCAGGACCCATGTCTACCCCAGATTACACATGGTCTTAATTACATGTCAGGGCCAATGTCTACCCCAGATTACACATGGTCTTAATTACATGTCAGGGCCCATGTCTACCCCAGATTACACATGGTCTTAATTACATGTCAGGGCCCATGTCTACCCCAGATTACACATGGTCTTAAGGTCAGGACCCATGTCTACCCCAGATTACACATGGTCTTAATTACATGTCAGGACCCATGTCTACCCCAGATTACTCATGGTTCTTAAGGCCATGTCAAGGCCCATTTTTTTAAATTCATGTCAGGGCCCATGTCTTAAGTTCATGTCAGGGCCCATGTCTTAAGTTCATGTCAGGGCCCATGTCTTAAGTTCATGTCAGGGCCCATGTCTTAAGTTCATGTCAGGGCCCATGTCTTAAGTTCATGTCAGGGCCCATGTCTTAAGTTCATGTCAGGGCCCATGTCTTAAGTTCATGTCAGGGCCCATGTCTTAAGTTCATGTCAGGGCCCATGTCTTAAGTTCATGTCAGGGCCCATGTCTTAAGTTCATGTCAGGGCCCATGTCTTAAGTTCATGTCAGGGCCCATGTCTTAAGTTCATGTCAGGGCCCATGTCTTAAGTTCATGTCAGGGCCCATGTCTTAAGTTCATGTCAGGGCCCATGTCTTAAGTTCATGTCAGGGGCAGTGTCTATACCAGATTACTCATGGTTGTTAAGTTCATGTCAAGGCCCATGCCAGATTACTCATGGTCTAATGTTGGTGTGTGAGGGTATTTTACATAATCTATCCCATAGACCATTAGATCACAAGGCATAAAAAAAAATAACCCTACTGTCCATGAGATATGTGAGGTAGAGTTTACCTGTTTCAGTGACCTCAGCATAAGAAGTGATAGTGTGGTCAGCATTGTGCCCAGCCAATTTAACTTTCCTTAACATGAGTCAGGTACCCATTACAGCTGGGTGGACTCGGGAATTTCGTATGTACTCTAGCCATTGGGTTAGCAGTCAAACGCTCAATCATTCGACAACACTGTCTTATTCTCCAGGTGTACTTACCTGAAATTTAGTTATAAGTAAAAGGTTAATATGTTGTTTTTAATATGTTCAGTTTATCCCATTACATGTCTTGCCAGTTATTTTGTAACCTCTCGTTCCTACCTGTGTTACCTGTTTCAGACTGGTGAGTGTGTTCCTGGATCTAGTCATAGAGATCCTCCTGAGTCCACCCAACAGTGAGGTCAGCAGGCCCCACTCCAAGAGACAGGTCATCATCAACCATGGCCTGCAGAAATGTGATAGCCGACCTTACATTGATTTTGATCAGGGTAAGTCTGGACATCAACCATGGCCTGCAGAAATGTGATAGCCGACCTTATATTGATTTTGATCAGGGTAAGTCTGGACATCAACCATGGCCTGCAGAAATGTGATAGCCGACCTTATATTGATTTTGATCAGGGTAAGTCTGGACATCAACCATGGCCTGCAGAAATGTGATAGCCGGCCTTACATTGATTTTGATCAGGGTAAGTCTGGACATCAACCATGGCCTGCAGAAATGTGATAGCCGGCCCTACATTGATTTTGATCAGGGTAAGTCTGGACATCAACAATAAAAAAACCCAGTTCTTATCAACCACGGCCTGCAGAAATGTGATAGCCGACCCTACATTGATTTTGATCAGGGTAAGTCTGGACATCAACAATAAAAAAACCCAGTTCTTATCAACCACGGCCTGCAGAAATGTGATAGCCGACCCTACATTGATTTTGATCAGGGTAAGTCTGGATATCAAGGAAAAAAAAACAACCCAATTCTTATCAACAATGGCCATAAGAAATGTAATACTAGACCTTACATTGATTTTGATCAGGGTAAGTCTTGACATCAACAATAAAAAAACAAAGTCTTATATAACATGGCCTAAAGAAATGTAATACTAGACCTTACATACTTTGATTTTGATCTAAGTGATGCTATTTCTTTTTTTATATTATTAGCTCATATTTTCAGAATTCTATGTTTAAAAAGGTGATACTTTATGAAACTGATTTTCCATATTGTTTAATCTAGCTTCATCATTTTAAAAAATTTAGAAATAAGTAGTTGAGTTTTTAAAATAACATTTGTAGGTTATCCCCCTTTTTAAGACTAAAGTTGAGTTTTTAAAATAACATTTGTAGGTTATCCCCCTTTTTTAAGACTGAAGTTTAATTAACTTTGATTGTATGGTAGCACCTCCTAGATCTCAGTACAGGCCATTTCAGCTTATATATATATATATATATATATATTACATAACATAGCTTTAGTCAGGCAAATGCTGAACCTTTTAGGTTCAACAGCAAATTTTTCAAAAATGAATGCAATGAGTTTTTTTTAATTTACAGATCAATCTGAGGGTCTGCCAGAGTTCTGTGTTTTAGAAAGGATCTACACATTGCAGTCATTAGATGATCTGGATATAGAAGGGGTTTACCCTTTGTACAAACAGCTGAAAGCAAAACTGGATGTAGCTCCACATTTAATGTTAGTAGTCTCCCTTCTTTTCTTTTAATTCATTCTAATAAATAAATTAATTAATTTGCTGTTGGGATATTCCACAACATTTGATTGTTGTACTCTCTCCTTGTTTTATTTTAATTAATTTAGTAATAAATTAATTAGCCATCTATCTATAGGAGAAACTAAGTAACTTCCCATTATGAACTTAACGTTCCATGGGGCAAGTAAAGTAGCGTTCACATTTTTCTATGACCTCGGCATATGAAAGGATAGTGTGATCAGCACTATGCCCAGCTGCCTTTACTTTCCCTAACGTGAGTTGGGTACCCATCAGAGCTGGGTTGACTCAGGGACATTCTACTGACTTGAATCTGGACTCAAACTCAAGACTTTTAGGTTAGCAGTCTACTGCAGCTCTACCACTAGGTCACAACGGCCCTCCTAAGAATCGAATTAACTTATGCAATTCTCTTCTAAATGAATTTCTTTGCGTATTTTAGATAACTAAGATTTGTATGAAATATTTGCATATCATGAAAGTTATTTACTATATTATTATGTTTAGATATGAACAATTTTTTTCTGTTCACGAAATCATTTACATGGTAACTAATTAGTCTACATGTATTTTTTTGTTGTGTAGGAAAAAATGGTGTTTAAATGGCCCTTATGAGGATGTGTCTTGGTTAGTAGGTCACCCTGGTGAAGAATTAAGTACCCTTGACCCTTCTTCAGATGAGTATGCAGTCCATAAAGTAAGTTCTCCTTGCTGAAGTCATTTAGAATCTAGTGATTTTTTTAAACTTGATATTTTCTTAACTGCTCTGTCACAGGGTAGGGTAGATTTCTGTGCCCCAGGGTCTAGGAGGCAAATGTTGGCTGTGTTTAGAAATTAAACAATTTCCTCATTTGAATGAACTTAGCTTTGAACTGAAACATTCAAATAGTCAGGTGGCTCTTTAGACCTAGCGGTCCATTGGGCAGATGAAGTAGAGTTTATATGTTTCTTGACCTCAGCATATGACCCTAACGAGAGTTAAGTACCATCAGAGCTGGATGGACTTGAACCCGTATTCGAACTTGAGACTTTCGGGATAACAGCCTAGTGCTCTACTGCTGTCGCCTGTAGTTATCAGAGAGTGATCTATTTCTGATCATTTGCTCCTCAGGTAAGGCGGTTTCTTGTGTCCAAGACGTTGCAGGATTGTTCAATCATAGTGGCTATTAAGCCTGCTAAAAGGTTTGTATGTTTATATGAGCTAAAATGTTTAGAATTTATGTATGAGCAAAACATTTAGTATGTTAGTATGTGCTGAAGGGTGTAGTATGTAGTGTGAGCTAAAAAGTTAGTATGCTAGTATGAGTTAAAGCTATTGCAATGACGATTTGAAAGTAACATGACAATACAGTTAAAAATGTCTTGAAGTTATGCACTAGGTAGGTGTGAAGATGCTACGAAAATGCAATAACTAGGTCAAGTGAGCAGTGGTCAGTTCCACCAATCACAGTGTTGATTGACAGATTATAGGTCAAGTGTCAGACATTTAGTCATTAGGAGTAAAACACTGCCAATTTTGGAAGTGTTAAGACGTCTAGATAAGTATAATTGAGATAACTTAATAGAAGGAATTGTTAATTAGGCCTCAGGGTTACCTGTTGTTTTACTATTTTTCATAGTTTTAAATATATATAAGAAGGAATAAACTTCCATCCTAAAATTTTGACCAAGCTTTATGTTACTTAACTAAAATAAGAGTTAAGTCAAAGACAGTTTACATTAAGAAAAGGAGAAGATCTTACAAGCACATTCTTATCAATTTTTATGCCACCGCATTTTTAGTGAATGCGTACAACGTCTTGTACTACTACATATATAAATATGCTTCAAAATTTTTCCAATTGATTCTTCCACAGCATAGACAGCAGGCAAGATTTTTTAAGGTTTGAAGGCGACCTGTACGCCTTCTCCATCAGTGTGGTCGACCTTGACCCCAAACCTTTTGAGAAGGTCAACACCTATTACAGGCAAGCCTCTGACATTGCCAAAACATTCGCCGAGAAATCTTTTGGAGTACACCGAGCCAACTAAGTATGATCTGTCAAGGAAGGGCCAAACCTCCGATGGAGTACACAGCCATCTAAGGAATGTGTCTTGGGGAAGGGCCATGTCTTATAGTGTATCATGTCAAGATAAGCTTTTGTATATTGACAGTAGCTTTATCATCCACTGAATCGTGCAATACTTAAGGGAATCAAAATATTACCTAATAAAGTGCTTTACCCTGTCTTATCGGATCTAAAAAAAAAATTGCATTGTATTTTGTTTTTGTTTTTTTATTTTATTATCTACTGGCAAATTGTAATATTTCAAATTCTTCTTGATACATTGTTTAAAAGATATTTTTTTTTAAGTTGTATTAAATCTGTTATTTATTTACTTTGTTGTATTTGTGATGTTTTCCTGTACGTAAAGCCAAAATGCTAATAAGTCCTATTGTGTACTTAATAGTGAGATCATAATTTGTACATTTATAGACATTTTTCATGTTTTTTTTTCCCAATTGTCAAGCTTGTAAAATTGAACAAGGAGTGATTTAGATGTTGGCTGAGTTTTCTGCATTATTTCATAATGTTGTAAATCTGAAATATAAACCTGTTTGTGATTTTTTTCTTCTGTTTTTTTCATTGCTCATGTGTAAAGAGTTGAAAACATTTCCTATCTCTCCTTTTTGTACCATAAAAATGTTGGACTTATTCAAGTGTGTAACTATTAGCTAGCAAAGCTGGAAGATGACAGGCTACATCATGTTTAGTATAGAACAAACATAGATCATTTAGTAATTATAGAAACAAACAGATAATTTGAGTGTATTATAGAAACAAACAGATCATTGAGTGTATTATAGAAACAGATCATAAGTGCATTATAGAAACAAACAGATCATTGAGTGTATTATAGAAACAAACAGATCATTGAGTGTATTATAGAAACAAACATAGATCATTCGGTGTATTATAGAAAGAAACACAGATCAAGTGTATTATAGAAACAACCATATCATTACAAGTATTAAACATATTAAGAACACCATGGTTTTTTTCTTTTAAATCAGTTGTATTTTTTCCTGTGCTTTAACCTCATGCCCAGACTCCTTTAGTGAATTGTATATTTTTTTTGTCAAAAAAAGCATTAAAATAGAAAAAACACTATTTGTTTTTTTAGTCATGCATAATTTTTACAAGTCATTTCTCTTTGCATTGCAACTTTAAATTTTATTTATCTCATTGATGCTCATTCCCAAAGTTTAAAAAAAAAATGTCTTTATATAAACCAGATATGTAAATTAGTCTCAGTGTATTTATCTTATCAAAAGTTTCTCTCATCATCTTGTGAAAGTCTTCCCTTTATAGAATAACTACCTTACTGTCACCTGTAAGCTTTGGTCGCCTACCCCACATCTCTTCTTTCAGTTCTTGAATGCCATACATGTTTTTTTTTACCCTCGCCATTCCATGTTGCATAATTTTTTTTTATATAGAACATGTTTGTTTCAAGCTTAATGTTATTTCTGTATTCTAAATGTAAAGAAGTGTAGACGGATGAAAGAAATGGTGTGCTGGTTTTTATCTGTGTGCGTATATTTTTGTTTTTTTTTACTAATAATTTAGTTTTACTGAGAAAAAATGTATACAAAGGAAATAAGGTATTAGAAATAATCATAATGAAAATATAAACTAAAGTTGGTTTTTAAAATAATTATTTTAGTTTTTTTTTTAAAGTTTTATCTAGTCTTGTAAAACCAAGCTAACAACTTGTAACTCCAGATAATTCTGTTTTCATTGTGCGAAAAAACAGCTTTCAACTCCAGCTAATTCTGTTTTAATTTTGCAAAAAACAACTTGTAACTCCAGATAATTCTGTTTTAATTGTGCAGTAAACCAACATTGCCTGTGGAACTGGTGTCTACAATGTTAATCTGTTATTTGTTATATCAATGTTAATCTGTTATTTGACTGCGGTTGAGATAGATTTCTCAAACTAATCTTTATACTTTGGCAAAATTAACACCCAAGCTTCATATGATGAATTCCAGTAAACTGTAAATGGCTTAGATTTTTTAAAAAGATTTAAAATAGATAAAAATGAAAAATAAAACTTATAAATTATTTAGGTTATTTTTAAGATTTTGATAAGAACATTCAAATGTTTTGTGTAGCTATTTTTAACCCTTGGAAGTTTACCAACAATCAGTCCCACACAGTTGACTATCTTGTGCTGTTTCTTTCTCCATTTATCTGACAACAGTTTTCTTATAACATGCTTTACTGGAACATTTGGTATAAAAAAATGTTCATTACCCTGTTCAACAGCTCTTTGTTGCATTATCAAGCCTATTAAAAGACCTTCATGTTTCCTTCCATTTTGAAACTGTTACACCACCACACCCCCCCCCCCCCCCCTTCTTACCTGAGCTGTTAAAATCTTAAGCCATAACTCAAACAGTTTTTGAAAGTACTTAAAATTTCATGTTGAAATATTATACATAATACACATTTCTGCGACGACACTGTACAGATGATAATAAAAAAAACTTAAAATACTATTTATCTTTACATTTTGTTCAGTTGAAATGGATGTCTTTTCCATGGGGTCTGTGCAGCATTAACTTGAAGGCCTATTTTTAATCTCCGCCATGCAAATCAGCAACAGTGCATTAAAAGACTTTCTTATATAAAATATTATTTATTGTGAAGAATTATATGAAGTAAAACTTGTCAATTATTATACCTAAGCACATTTTGAAAAATAGTTTTTGCGTATTTTAAAATAATCACATTTTTAAATTTTTTTTTTTTTTAAATTTTAAGCTTATCAAATCGCATGGCTTTAGGTTGTGTGAATTTTTACTCTACTAAAACAAAGCGTTTTGTCACTCATGAAACAGCAATAGTATTTTCTCATCTCTGTTTAAAAGGCATGGACAATAAAAAAACATTATTACTAATATCTTTCGTGATTATTTTTATTTTATTTTTTTATGCTGTTTTTTTAGAAAGAGAATTTGGAAATGGTTATTAAATTTCATTTAAATAAATATGCAGTCATTGTAATTTTTAAACAATGAAAGTGTAATGTGGTTTACTGTTTTAAAATATTTGTTTATAATGTTGCAGAACGTGTTCAGGTTTTATAGTGATAGAAAAACAGATTAATATACCTGTTTCTATTCTGTACTTTTTGGTAATAAAGCTTCTGTTCATGTTGAGGCTTGTTAAAATATCACCTAGATCTAGTTAAAAAAGACAAAGTTTTTTTTTCAAAGTAATTTTTTTTTCACTGCTTGAGTATCATTTACATTTACAAAAATTATTTGAATAAAATTTATATAGATCTAGAGTATTTTTTTTAAGGAGAGATAACTCATTAATTTACATCATCTTAAACTAGTATAAAGTTTTTCAATCATACTTTTATGAAAACAAGATTGATATATATTAAAAAATGTATAATGTTTGGCAACTTATTTCTTGTTGCTTTTTAAAAAAAAATGTGATTGTATTGTCATTATCCTTTGGGTATCCTGTACAAAAATATAGGACATCTAATGACATTTTACTTCTATACTAGTACTATTTTATATCTTTTTGTTGTAATATATTTTACACAGATAATTATTAAACTAGTTGGTTTTGTTATTTTTAATTTTTAAAATTAAAAACTAAAAGAGTTATCTCCCTGTCACTGGTGAATGAACTTCTCAAGGAATCTCAACCAGCAGCTGTTTTATTTATTACACATTGTTTACTTTTTCTTGTCTTTTCTTTTGAACAATTTTAACATGTGCTCTCAGTTCTTTCTATGTTGCCCTTAAATTTATTCTGAAATGTATTCCTTAGAGATGATAGAAACAAACTTTTTTTCATAAGCTAGTGAAGTAATTTTTAGAATGTATATAGTAAAGAAATATAATTTACAATATTTTTAAACTTTTGAATTATTATTTCTATGGGCTTTATTTTTTTTCAATAAAATTTGATGAAGCATGCATTTTAAAATTTAAAAAGAATTGTCTGTAGTCCCTCCAAGTATTTTAGCAAAGAAAAGTCAGGTTTTTTTTTTTTTACAGCATTAATGATAATAACAAGAGTGCCTTTGGCTGTAATTTGTCATTGTAATTATTTTTTTTTACTGGTTCCTTCATGTGTTGATGTTGTTTGTTGTCTTATTAAAAATGGAACTAATGTTAGTTTCAAAACTTGCATGGGTGCAAAAAAAGCTTAACTGGTTAGCAAACCTGAAGGCATTTAATGTCCATTAGAATATTCCCTTTTTTTAATTCATGTAAATAATTTGTAATTTTGTAAAGTATGGTTTTTACCAAGGATAAAATTTGTTAAAACTTCTAGTCCTAAAATACTTACAATGTGAGGGGGAAAGCTTTAAACCTTTATCCTTGTAGATGTTTGTATTAGCAATGGACGACATATCCCAGCATTAGATACAATATCCTCTTGATATTATTCTAAAGCTTGATACGTTTGCTACGGAACTTTTTATGAGAGCTCTTGTAAAATACATAACCTGTTTTGTATATAGAAATGTTATTGTTACTGTTTTGTGTTCACAATGGTTTTTTTTATCATATAAATTTATGGAATTGTGAGCTTCTGCAATTAGTTTAGAGTTTTAAAATGCCGATTGATTCTTAAACGCAGAAGTGTATTAGTGTTTATTTATTGAGTGTTTTGACCATATCAAGTTTGAAGCTTAAGATATAAAACATTATCATTGTTTACATTTTTGCATGTCCAGGGAAATTCTCAAAATCTTTTTTTTTTTTTTTCAAAGGCTTTTCAATTTATCCCATTTTAATTTCTACTTTCTGAGTTTTCTGCTTGTTGTAAACTGTGATGTTATAAGCTGTTTTCATCCGTTTGAATTAATCAATTTTTTTTTATAGAGAACTGTTTTTGAATTATTGTACTATTTAGTACGTATATTATGTGCACTCAAAAAAAAAAGAGTTTTTTTAGGTATTTTAAAAATGTTACCTTTAACATCCCTTTACCATTGTTTATGAAATTAAGAAGCTACAGAGAATTATTTCTGAATTCTTGTAAAAACTATCAAATTTAGTATTTATTTTAGTACATACATTATGAGTTTTTAAGGTATTTTAAAAACATTAGTTTTAGCATCCCTTTACCATTGTTGATGATATTATGAAGCAACAGGATGTAATTTTAGGGCCAGTTCAAGTGTAGAACAATGCATACATTTTATTTTTACAACAGAGCAGTATTAGCTTTTTATTGTTTGTAACATGTTTAAGTTTTTCAATCCACTTTAATTTACATTTTTAGAAATTAGTTTTACTATTTAAATTATATGAAATTGTTTGTCTTACAGTAATGTCTGTTTACTGACCTGGTAAAAAATGATTTTAAAAAAAAATAATTTAAAAAAAAAAACTCGCCTTTATAAATGGAATTATAAAAGCAAGCTTTTTTAAGTAAACATAAACTTTATGTTGAGACATGATTTTTATAAAAACAGGTTGAATTTAGTTATTTAAAAAAAACTTTATGTTGAGACAAGATTTTTATGGAATTATATACAGTCTACTGCACTTGTTGAAACCTAAAATAGAAGACTAACCCTGGCTGTAGAATTTAGATGTCAGCAACATAAGTTTAGTCCTGCCTTACTGAGTGAAGACCTATGGGCTAGATATATTTTTGTCAAAATCAACCGATTCAGTGACTCCCACAGAAAGGCTTGGTCTAGTGGAGTGAGCGCATGATTTTTCTGCCGGGGCATTAGGAGCTGTCATCCATTTAGCCCCATCTGAACCTAGTGGTGCCCTGCACTGGGGAAGGCAGGAATAAAATCTTGTGGCAACAAACTTGTTGTAGAGACTGGCAACATGGGTGTAAGAAATGTTCAGTTCTCCATCCTATGTTGCCTGCAAGATGCTGTAACGTTATATTCTTGAGGACAGAAAGTCCCACTTTCTCTATTTATAAATAGATGTATGCTAAAATATATATGAACAAATCCATTTAACTGTCATATTTTTTTTAAAAAGGTAAACTTTGATAGCCAAATTTAAAAAAAATTAACTGTTATCTAATAATTTTTATTTTGTAACTTAATTTCATGCAGCAAATCAGGCATTAATTTTTGTTGTTGTTAAAGTTAGGTAAGTCACAACATAATTTTAAAAAATAGTAAGAAAAAAATGTAACTGACATGTTAGTTATATGTTCATTTGTTTGTTTGTTAGGAACATGTTAGTGTTAATGTATCCCAGTGTTTGAAGGCAATGTTATACTCTAGAAAACTTTATAAACAAGGGCAGTGGGTTCAAATACTAGCTTTGAACAAGATGTAGAGGTAACTCTGCTTTTATTAAACACAGATGAAAATAAGTATAGTGCTTGTTTAAATGAAATGTTTACAAACATGCTTTAATGTTAACAAGTTTTGTAACAATAAAAGCAGGGATGAAATTTTGATAATTGTTTCCATACCAGGCATTAAATTTGTATATATGTAAGATTTTTTGGAGTCTGAATTATTTTTCTTAAGGTCAGCAACCTAAAACTAGACTAGACTTTTTAAAAAGGCAGGACAGAATACATAGCTGAAACTCAATTCTGAAAGATTAGTTTTAAACAGCTGTGTTGATGTAAGGGGATATAACCCTCATAGTGGCAATTAGAAAAAACTTTTTTTGTTTGTTTTATGTTAAGTATTGTGTGTGTGTAATTTATACAAGCCTATTGATAATTTTTCTCAAATCAAATTTGTTTTACAAATGTTGGTCAATCTATAGATTTTTTAACATTTGTTTATTTTGAATTTAAGCAACCCATATATTAAGTTTCAAAAGATTAAAATATATGTATAGAAAAGAAAACTATCAATATGTACCCATACTAGTTTTGGTTAAATATCCAATCCCAATAGCTGTATATTTAAATAATAAAATGTAAGTAAAAAAACAAATGTCTTTCAAATAAATGTAAATTTTTACTCCACGCTCTCCTCTAGTATGTATTTATGCATATGTGTATTTATATAAAAACACACATACATAGGCCTACACAACCAACACTGAATCACACTTTCTTCTGTCCAGCCCACACACAAACCACACTTAACCCACATACACCACACAATAAATCAAACCATTCTTCTATCAAATCTGAATTGAAAATTTGAATACTCAAATGGGCTTAAATTTCTGTTAAATTAGATTATTAAGATACACTGATACCAGCTGTTCACTACCATAGCATTATAAAACTGTAACAGGCATTGATGTTTTTAAAAGTTTTTTTAAGGTGTAACATTTTTTTAAATTTTTAAATAAACTGTGTCTGAACCAATGCATTTTTTTTTTTTTATTTAAAGATAAACTTTTTCCTTAAATTAAAATTTGACAAATCAGGTCAATTTTGAATACTTTTAAAATAATGTGAATACCCAATAACTTAATATGTATTTTGATTACTGAAAAATCGTATTCATTAAAATATTAATTTGGCTTTACAAATTTGTGTCAGGGTGTGGAGTGTCAGCATGGGTTGGTTCCCCTGAAGCTCACCTGGTGATATTATTTATTGAATAGACTGATTCTCATCATAATAAAAACATTCCATTTTGATTAAGGGAATAAAAACAAACAATGCAAAGTTTTTTAGTGTACAAATAACTTCCATGTTTTTTTTAATGAAATTTCACTAAGCCATAATATCATTATACTTTTATTTCTGTAAATTTAAAAATAAAGTTCTAGGTAATAATTTTTTTTAAATAAAATTAATCATTAAAACAGTGGTAATGTGTTGAACAAGTTATATAAAAACACATTTTTAAACTACATAAACTACAAATTTGTATAGTTAGTAATTTAATCAATGTTTATTAAATTCCCACTCTCTTTAGATCAGTCTTTACTGTTAGTAACAAAGTCACCTGCGATAGTGATGCAGTTAACCTACCCCCACCCCCCATTTATATGTAACACAATTAGGCATTTTTATAACCTTTATTAACAAACTATGCAGATTAATTTTAGAAATTGTTCCCTTTATATTGACAACATTTTAAACTTTTAATATTGTTATACTATTTGTCATAAAATAGAAGTATTGAATTTTTTTTTAATTAAAAAAAAACACACTGATACGTAACTTAAAAATCGTATTGTTGTTAGTTCATGTGTGTTCTTTGTGTAATAATCTGTCCAATCCTTGCCTCCTTGGCAGGCTATTCCCTCGTATACTGGTCTTTTTTTATATGTTGACTTTGTGCTTGTTCCTTTTTAACCAAATACATTACAATTTAATTAGTAAAATTTACCGATGTTTTAAAAATTGTAATTATTCTTAAAATAATTGACAGTTGTCTAATGTGGATTTAGATCACATGAAACTTTTATTAGAATATAAAAATCCTTTGACTATCATTGATGACCCTGTTGTATACAAGAAAAATTTATAATGTTGTGTTGTTCATGTGAAATTTACATTCATTTTGAACAATTGCAAATAAAACTCCCTTTTCTTGACTGGTTGTGTCATTTGAGTATGTAATTTGTCATGTGTGAGTGAATGGGTGAGTTACAGCAAGTGAATTCTTTGAATTAGCGTGTGAGCAATGATTGATGGGTTTATGCTATAATACTAAAGGTGTGTGGGGACTGAGTAGTCTAGCGGTAGAGAGCTGGACTGCTAACCCGTAAGTCTCGAGTTCGAATCCGGGTTCAAGTCAGTAGACCGTCCCTGAGTCCACCCAACTCTTATGGGTACTTAACTCACATTAGGGAAAGTAAAGGCGGCTGGGCATAGTGCTGATCACACTATCTCTTCATTTGCCGAGGTCACAGAAACAAGTGAACTCTACTTCACTTGCCCCATAGACCGTCAGGTTTGAAAGGAAACTTTACTACTTACTAAAGGTGTGTGGGATATTTGAAATATTTACGTTTGAGTCTCCAAAGACTGAGTGATTGGTTCGAGCTGAGTAAATAATTTATCTTTTCATATGGTTATGGTGTGTGAGTGATTAATTTTTTTTATTAATGATGAGTAAATTACATAAGCTCATCTGTGTTTATTAATAGTTAATTATTTTAGCTTGTGTGTGCTAATGGGGAGTTGGTGATGTATGTTTATTGTGTTAATGGTGACTGAAGATCCAAACTTGACCTTTATAGAAATAAAAACTCTTTAGACCTACCGACACATCTGGCAGATGAAGTAGATGTCTCGACCCGGACATGTGAGAGGATTATGTGGTCAGTAATATGACCAGCTGCCTTTACTTTCCCTCGCGTGAGTTAGGTACTCATTAGAGTTGAGTGGACTGAGAGATGTTCCACTGACTTAACCCTGGATTTGAACTTGAGATATTCAGGTTAGCAGTCTAGCGCTCTATCACTAGTCCATGCTGTCCCCTCATGTGTTATAATTATATAATGTGTTATAATGAGTGAATGATTTGAGTTATTGCGTGCTAATGGTGAGTGTGTGATACAGTTAGGTTAGGTTTGCCTGTCGTCCTTACTGGGACATAGGCCGCTGACAAGAGTTTCCAGGCATCTCTCTCCAGGGCGAGTCTCTCCAACTGTCCCCAGGTGTATCCAATCTTCTTGGTGACTTCTTCCAGGTCACGTCTCCAGGTCTTTCTTGGTCTGCCTCTGCTCCTCCTGCCTTGTGGATTCCAGGTGAGGGCCTGTCTTGTTATGCTGGATACAGGCTTCCTGAGTGGAGTGATATATGTTTCATGTATTAATGGTGATTGAAGATCCAAACTTGTGTGTTACATTGATGAGTGAATGATTTCAGCTCTTGTGTGCTAAAGGAGAGTGGGTGATGAATGTTGGTGTATTAATAGTGAATGAATGAAGTAAAACTTAGCTTTGTATGTGGGTTAGAAATATTTTATTAATTGGTCTCCATGACAATCAGCCAGTGTGGTATGGAAATTTAGCAAACAGAAAAAGGGAGACAAAGATATAGATGTTTATCCAGCACAAAGAGCATTTAGAAATAATAATAATGACTCAAATAATGTGATCACAAAAGAGATTAAAAAAATTGGTCACACGGGAAATCTAACTGTCCAGCATGATTTTTGAAACTGGACATTCTAATGATGTTTCCAGAGGAACGAATAAGAGGTAGTCATTATTAAAGGGACACAACTCTCTATGTTTGCTTTTCTAGTTAAAACTTGATTATCGTTCTGTAATCAGACATCTTTCTTAATCCATATTTTTACTTCTTTGTAATCAGTTGTAGAATACTCGTTAATAAAAATCTCACATCAAATTGTTCAAAAACATTTTTACAATTTTTTTAGAACTAGGCTTAATCCAGAAATAAAAAAAACCGATGTAAAAAAAACCCCGATAAAACCGATACGATCCTAACCTCCTCCCACCTATCATAATTACACGCCATCAAAAAAACACCAGACAAATACCCCTAAAACGACATCGCAAAGCGTTATTCATAGACTTTACTCTTTACCCTTTACGATATTCCAATCTAATGCTACTTCACTCACTCTTTCGTGCCCCCGCCCCACCCCCCCCCCCCCACCCCCACATACTCAACCCACATCGTAGCCTACATCGTCACAAACGCCCAACACACTCTCCCTTTCACAATTGTATTTTAAATTGTGATTTATCCCAAAAGTGTTAATCACCGCTAGTTTCTATCAGGCATCTCTTCGGGGGAGGGGGGGGGGGGGGGAAATCTGAAGCGTGTCTACTTTTACCAGTGTCCGGCCCCTTTCTCTCACCCCCCCCCCCCCCCTTCCCCGCCCCCCGTCGAGGAAAAGGTTTGAGCGAGAAACACTCATCACATCATTCACCATAATCACAAACTATGTGTTCATTAGGTTAATTGCGGAGAACATCACTGATCACCAGATTCTGATTTAATGAAAAAGATTTCAGTTAATCCGGGTTAAGATTGAGAAGACCCTATATAAATAATGTTTTAATAATTCTAATTACCTTTTACAATGCGCAACTTTTTGTACCGCAATTCACCCCCCACCAACACACACCAGCTGTCCCCTCGTCAGTCTTCGACCCCCCCCCCCCTCCCCATGCCATGCTTACAACTCCCTTGGGATAGTGACATCATTTATGGACGACCCACGGGAGATGTATTGACTGTCCCAATACCATTTCATAAGAATACATTTGTCTTGCCATCCGCTTAAAGTTTACTAGTGAATTTTTTTTTATTTGGCCTACTTTCATACATTCCTAAACTCTCAGGTGTAAAAATTAACATATGCCCAAGTTTTAAATCTGTAACAAACCCCTCAAAACGTCCAACCGTGGTGGGTATTGAACACCTTTGTTTGATCATGTGATCATTTCCTCTGCAATTGTTTTACCCTCCCGAGAAATAGTTGACAACAAAAGAAAGATAGTTTATTTAAATGTATGTAGTTATATGGCTAAAAAATGCACCGTAATTAATTCAAAATATGATATACAGTTTAATTTGTTGCGTTTTTCCGTATTATCACGTTTTATTGAAGGTGCGTTTTCAAAAGGTTGGCAGACATTTACAAGGGAGGGAAATTGAACAGCGTCCGCTGTCGCACTAACGCTGCCAGCCATTTTCGTTGTCACCGATAGGGCGAATGATAAGGACTGTAACTAACGAAGGATATCGCTGTGTTATTTTTCAAAGAAAACTGTTTCAATAATGATATGTGTAGAGGATTTATTTATGTGCTCATTTAGTGTGTCTGTGTTAACTTTTTTCCTCTTCAAATAACTTTATTTTGATTAAACGTGATCACTGAATAAAAGAATACTGTGTCGGTGGCATCGCTACACACTCGCGTACAGGCATGAATGAGACATCGCCGAGCTGAGTAATCTCCCCTTTACAATCGCTTGGATGTTTTTTGACTTCTTGCTTACCTATGGGGCAAATACACCTGTGAACATGGTCGTTGGACATAAAATCAAGATCTAAATCATCCGACGTTGTGACGGCAGTACAAAATTAAATAGATGTAGATTTTAGTAGGCCTAATCAATGAAATTCTTGTAGATTCTATGCACGTCAAAAAGTTTCTTCTTATCGTAATTCAGTCCAGTCACGGCATTGATTCTTTGTAGCTTTTTTCATTTGAAAAACGATGTTGGCTGCTTTGTCGCTCATGAGGAAAAATTAATCGCAAGCGTTTTCTTGCGACAAAAATGAAGCCTGTTCATAAAATAATGTGTAGACTGCTTCCACATTCACCAGAAAGTGTTTGTGTTCATTCTTCTGTGGGATATCGGATCATGGCTGGAGGTGGAGTCAACAAAACTTTCACATACATTTTCATACTCCTGTTGTTCTTCGTATCGTCTGCTCATACATTTGAAGTACGGCTCGCCAGTGCCGACCCTGGGGGTACCATAGTAAATTTTTCATTGCCAGGCCATGACTGGAATTATGCACTTGATAAAAAACATAGCAAATTCTCACTTCCATTTATATATTTGAACCACACACATAGTGGGGCAGTGCAAGCGAAGAAAAAGGTAAACTGTCTTCTATCAAAACACAACCCCATGCAGTTCAGCATCATAGCTCAAACTGTTTTTAATAACATGGAAGCACCTACAGAAGTCAGTGCTTCTTTTCCTTTTTTTGTTTTCCTTGAAGGACAGTGGTGCAAAAATGTTCATAGACATTGGTTAAGGGAAAAATTAAAGAAAAATCCCAGCCATGTAGATATAAGTATAACAGTACCTTCATCGGATAGCTGTTTTAGACAGGGAAGAACTGTACTTAGTTTGTATGAATTTATTCCGTTAAACTTTCATAAATGTAAAATTCTTGTCAACCCTCTCTCATCAAACATTATTGTAAATCACCTGGACTCGGATATATCATTCAGTCATGATGTTTGTGTAGAAAGCAAACTGAAAGTTAAAATTGAGGTTTCTATAGCTTGTCATAAATCAGAAAATCAGTTTATGTTATATGTCATTGCATTTAAAAAACAGACAGTGGTAGATGTTTCACCGTCGGTCACCAAGAATAAAGTGTCGAGGAATAAAAGGCAAACAAGAAACAGAGCACCTACATTTGCACAGGCGCAGTATACAAAAAACGTGAAAGAAGAACAAGAACCTGGCGTGTCAGTTATCACAATGTCTGCCACTGATCCAGATGAAGGGGAGGCAGGCGTACTCACATACAGAATGGAAGCCAATGCGGATTTGAGAAGTTTGGACATGTTTGCCATCAACCCTGCCACCGGGCTGGTCAACACGACAAAAAGGTTGGACAGGGAGACCATGGCTTCACATTCTTTTAAAATTATTGCCACAGACAACGCTATGCCTGGATCAGAGCGCCGGAGTGCCACTGCCCTTCTCTCCATCATTGTAGATGATGTCAACGATCACGCCCCGACCTTCCCATCATCTAGTGCCAGGATTGAAGTAGCTGAAAACCGCGATGCGAATCAAGAAGTTTATGTTGCTAAAGCTGTGGACGGTGACACAGGGGATAATGCTGTCATTAAGTACAGCATTCTCAACCAAGGACCTCCCAATGATGCATTTTATATCGAACCGTTGACTGGTTCAATCTCTACTCGGGTGAGCTTGGACAGAGAGAAGGTCTCATCTTATAGACTCATTATTTTAGCTATTGACCAAGGGGACATCAACGACAGAAAAACCTCAACTTTCACTTTATCTATAAATGTAGCCGATGTTAACGACAACAGCCCTCAGTTTTTGCAAGACAGCTACGTGGTTAACATACGCGAGGACCAGGCGGTCAGCACGACTAAAGAGATAATTAACGTGACAGCCACTGACGCGGACGAGGGCGTCAACTCTCAGATATCCTACCGTTTGTCAGGTCAGGCTCAGGATAAGTTTTCTATTGACAAGTACTCGGGCAAACTTTATTTAATTGGAGCTTTGGACTATGAAGATGTGTTATCCTATCAGCTGAACGTTTGGGCTGAGGACCAAGGAAACCCACCTAGAAGAACAGCCACAAATGTTATAGTCAATGTGATTGATGTTAACGACAATAGTCCATCTTTCTTTGACTCCACTTATAAGAAGACAGTTGATGAGAATCTACCAATCGGGACCAGTATACTACAGGCTCAGGCTGATGACAGAGACAACGGCAATAATGCATTGATAACGTACTCAATTTTAAATCCCACAAATCCATTCCCCTTCCAGATTGATCCACAGACCGGTTGGATTAAAACCACAGGACAGCTGGACAGAGAAACGCAGTCCAGTTACACTTTCATCGTCCAGGCTAAGGATAATGGTGACAAGCCTCTGAGTGCCAATGTAACTGTTGTCATCACTCTTAGAGACCTGAACGACAACCCGCCAGTCTTTAAGGCAAGGAGCTACAATGCATCTATATCAGAGGAAGCCAATAAGGGGGATGTGGTTGTCACAGTTATTGCCACCGATGCAGACGAGGGGGATAACGCCAGGATCACTTACAGTATTGACAGGGGTAACGACAAAGATGCTTTTCAGATAAGGATGACTAACGGTGAAGGTGTCATTAGCGTGAACAGAAAGCTGGATGCACGTGACCAAAACAAGTACGTGCTGGCTGTGTCTGCTACCGACAAGGATGGGTTCAGTGATTCTATATATGTATATATAGATGTCCTTGACACCAACAGGTTCCCTCCTGAGTTCCAGACCAACACCCCTTACAGCTTTGATGTTAAAGAAGACGTCGACATCGGCACGTCTGTGTTTTCTGTTGTAGCCGTCGACAGAGACAGGGGGGAAAATGCTCGGATAACATACTCTTTAGATCCATCATCCGTGTTCAGCATTGATCCAGACACCGGAGTTATCCGGACTCGGCAAAAGCTGGACAGAGAAACGGTTTCTGTGTACATGCTGATTGCCACTGCTACGGATAATGGTAAGCCACCTCAGAAAGATCAAGCTGAAATAGCAGTGACAGTGAAAGACGTCAACGACAACAAGCCAGAGTTCCAAAAGGTGAAGTACTTTGGGAAAGTGTCAGAAGATGCACTGAAAGGTGTCAAAATCCTGAATGTTACTGCAACAGACAAAGACGAGGGGGTCAACGGTCAAGTCAGGTACACCTTTTCAAACGGGAACGATGGTAACGGTGCTTTTAGCATTGACAATCAAGGATGGATACGTTTGGCGAAAGAAGTAGACAGAGAGACGACTCCATCGTATGATCTGGTTGTTGTCGCAGTGGATTCAGATCCGGTGAATCCGCAGTCAGCTTCAGTCATCGTCCACATTGATGTTGAAGATGTCAATGATAACGCCCCCATATTCGAGTCCTCTGTTTTCAATGTGTTTATTCAGGAAAACAGCCCTATTGGTTCTACTGTTGCTACCATCTCAGCTGTTGACCCAGACGAAGGGGTCAATGCCCTTATAAACTACACCATCGCTAACAATGCAGACTCCAGCTGTTTCAAGCAAGCCGGGCGACTGGGTGATCCTGCAATCATCATCACTCTCATCAATTTGGATTACGAGGATGGGAAACAGCAGTACGAAATCACTCTCATTGCCGCGTCTATAACTCTGATTTCCTCCGCCAAGGTCATCATCAATGTCCAGGACGTCAACGACAATAGCCCGGTCCTGGAGGATTTCTCCATCATCTACAACAACTTTGACGGGATGTTTCCCAGCGGGCCCATCGGGAGGATCCCAGCTTATGACCCCGACGTCTCAGACAGGGATCGTTTGATTTACAGGATCCTCTCAGGGAACAAGGCAGATCTTCTCTACCTTAATGAGACCTCAGGGGAGGTGACTCTCAATCCTAAGCTTAACTCCGATGTACCACGTACAGGCATATTCCAGATCAGTGTCACTGGTAAGTAAGCTACATGTTTTATTTCCTTATGATTACAAATTATTAAATTGATTCTTGCTGCTGTTATCTTTTAGCCAGATACATTTACTCCCCAACTGGTGTAAATAGTATTATTGGCATATGCACTCTTAAAACAGTTACTATAAGCTGTTATTTTTTTGTACTATAGTCATGGTAATACAAGGTTGAAATAGTAACACAAATTCTATTGGCCATACACTTTTAAATTTTTTGCTAACTTATATAACTTATTCCAAAATTCTATAAAAAAATTATATGCCCTTATTGACAGTATAATGTAGAATTGTGCGAGACAATAGATCTAAATCCTATTGTTTCAGTATCACTTCAGACGTAGCATACTCTTTTTAACGCACTCCAAAAATTTCAATTTTTTAATGCTTTTTTTAAAGGAATTCCCGATCAAATAAAAACAATCTAAAAATAATGCTTCCATGACTCACTGGCATTTTAGAAAGGGGGGGGGGGGGGGGGGGGGGGGCGGAGGGGGGTTGTTTTGTCTTTCAATCTCAGCTTGGAGACTAAATTGGAATTGGAAACAGGAAATGACATTGTCTTTACAACGCTTGATTTAGGCCTAAATATACTTTCGTTGTGTTGATTTAATATTGCACCGATATAATTAACTCAAGTAACTGCATGCAAGATGGGAAGGGTCACGCTTTTTAACTGTATCTGTGTATTATAGAACTCGCATTCAGGCGGTTGAATCTTTAACAAAAACACGCGGAATACAGAGTATCTCTAGTCTCGATAAGGCTAATGAAAAGAAACAACAAACCCAGGACGAGGCAAGTGAACTCTACAAGATACCATGTCTTGGGAGGATTTTTTTAAGGCCACTTTATCAAAACCCCGTACTTGCACGCCAATTTGGTTATCTTGCTATTTGAGCCCCTTGTTTCTAGTTTGTTTTTATCGGAATGCTAACACTCGAATGCAGTTCTAATGTCATTTTTACTAGACATCATAAAATCTCGAGGAGCTGGGGAGAAAGGGGGGGGGGAAGCAATCGATCGATTTTCGAAACAAAAAGACAGTTCCATTATCTCGAAGCCAGTCTGGCGTATGTGTGTGTTAATGTGTGTGTGTGTGTGTGTGTGTGCTCCATCGGAGCGGCGCCAGAGATATGATTACGTCATCGAGAAACAGATGTCTGAAAATTTGATTTTTGAAGTTATTATGGTAATGTAAAAAAAATAATGAAATGAAGTATAAATTGTTATTCAAATCTATTCTTGGAGATTGATAGGCTACTTTAGAAAATTGGTTGTCCCGGATCTATTAATTTTCATATTTCAGCTTACATCCGGCGTGATAAAGCAACTCCCATAGTTCTAATGGAATTAATTCTTTGAGTATTTGTCCCGTGTTATGCATACTTTTTAAAAGATGTTTTATAAACCCTTATTTCTGATATGAAATCAGAACAGATATTTGAAAATATTGTAGTTGTGATACATTCATCGTCATAGAATAGGGACTACTTGTGGAGCATAGGGATTAGGAACCCCTTGTGGACCATAGGGACCCCTTGTGGAGCGAAGGAACCATTTGTTAAGCATAGGCATGCAACCACAGCTCCACCGTACTCTGTTTTGGGCGATTCTTTTAAGTTGGCCCTAAAACATTCCGGTTGCTCGTGCTTCACTGACTAATGATCTTTTCCAAGTTTGTTTTGACCTACCTACTTTCCCCTTTTGATAGAGATTCCAATCTAATACCTGTTCAGATTTATTAAATTGAATGATATTTGAACTAGCGACATTTTAAAATGTGTATAAACACCATCCCCACTCGTTTCTGAATAAAGTATTCTTAAGTAGGGCCTGCAGTTAAAAAAAAAAAAACAGCTTGAGTTTAACGACCGTTGAAGTCACATATTCCAGTAAGATTTATCCACAAAGTCACTACATCATAGAATATCATTTAAAAAAAAAAGGTTGGATGGCCCCATGACTTTGCAGGCAATGTCGCTATACATCGGACCGGGAAAAACTGCAGTGTTTCTTTGTTCCCGTTTTGTTTAGGTTCGCTAGCTTGATATTATCTTTTATTAAACCTCATATCCTCCGGCGGGGCTTGTCTTAAGTCTTGAGCTATACGATCTGTCGCGAATGCTCTGGCTGTGTGATTAGGATCTAATAATACCCTAGTTTTATACCTGTTGTCCGACTTGTACACCTCTCTAGTCCCCCCCCCCCCCATAAAATAAGTCATGTACGAGCCAATGTGTGTGATGTACGATTTAAAAGTTGAAAAGGTTTTTTTTTCTTTTGACAATGGAGTAGAATAGAATCCTCCGTATGACATAAACTACGGTCGAATTTTCCTGTGTGGTCATACATCTTGTTGAAATAAAAAAAAAGACCAAAATATTTATAGTATATTTGAACAAAAATAAATAAATTTCTCATTAAGATCTGACGGTCCTTATGAAATAGATGAAGTAGAGTTACTTTATTTATATGACCGCATCATATTAAAGAATTGTTTGGACATCACTGACCAGTCAACTTGTATCAGGTACCAATTATAACTGAGTGGACTCAGGGATATAATACCTAGCCCGAAATAAAACAAAACCTCGATGTTTTACGTTTAGCTTATCGTGTGCTCCAGCACGCCGTCTCCTATATCAGAACAAAGCAATTTACCAATTTTGAAATAATCCTCGGCTCATGCAAATTTCAACTGGGAATTCGGCCGGATACGACTAGATAACACAAGTGGTTCTGGTGGGTCTCGGCGGTCTCACAGTCGGACCACTCACCGCACACGTTGTCAGGTGCGTGTTGTTGTATAGCAACGATAACCTACGAAAGAACGAAAAAAAAGAGCGAGGTATAGAATAGCACACCGTTGATTACATTAGATGCGTTGTTCATATATCGAGCCTGTAAGCGAGGTTTGATCGATGGTGTGCCTTGAGATTACTCACGTTCTCTAACCGCAGCGAATCCGTGTAATTAGTTTTGATATAGACGTCGAGTTCTTATCCCCTGTATAGCCTGCAGCATTGTGCTATGTTGTTGTCCACACAACACCCCAAGGCGATACATTTTCTTTCATATCGCCGAATATACGCCAGGGAGAGCCAATCTTATCAAATATTAATAAAACGAATGTAAGACATCGAAGGAATTAACCGGGAGGATGGTTTTAATAATAAAAAAAGATGTTAAGCTGAAAACATGTTTGCAAAACAGTATCGAACCAAGAAAAAAAACAAATTTCAAATGGGTTTTGTTGTTTTACGTTTTAACATGAGTTTGATTATTTAAACGCATTTATTGTGTATGTGTTTTTCGCGATGTTCAACTTAGATCTTGCTCTTTAAATCCAGCAGCATGATCTTTATTGTGAACAAAATGCTGTATATGTTATTTTTGAAACACAAATGTCGCCGATAACTTCGTCTAATACATGCAACAACTGACACCAACTAGTTATATAACTTGATCATAATAGAACTCTTAGTTTGATAGCTCTATTATAAGAAAGCTCTTGTTTTTTTTATAATAGAGCTCTTAGTATGATAGCTCTATTATAATAAAGCTCTTGTTTTTTTATAGCTTTATTATAATAGAACTCTATGATAGAACCAGGCCTTTTGATAAGTTATGTTAATTTTTTTGACACTCTACTTAACAGCAACACGCGTAGTTTTCTTGTAGTAAACTTAACAGCCAGTGTGCATCGCTTTGATCAGTTGTCGGTGTCAATTACGGGAAGCAGCACGTTGTTTAATCACTTCCGAAGGTCTGGTGCACCTGTACAACTGCAGCAGACCTTAAAAAAAGGATTCAATGAAAACTGTTTGACATTGCATTGCAGCTTAGTGGTCCGTTAGTTTTTTTCGTGCTTTTGGCACTGGGAAGAGCTGCAGCGTTGGAGTCAGGCGGTGAGGAAAACAGCTGGCTTTCGTGGTTTAAATCGAAATATGTAGGGGCCGGGCAGAGGATTTTATGGATAGTGTAGAGGCAGATGAACCCTCTGTTAAGTACTATGTAGAGGCCGATTATCCATGTGTTTAGTACCGTGTAGAGGCCAGGAATTGGATTTTATGGACAGTGTAGAGGCCAAATAACCCTATGTTTAGTACCGTGTAGAGGCCAAATAACCCTATGTTTAGTACCGTGTAGAGGCCAAATAACCCTATGTTTAGGAATGTGTAGAGACCAGGAATTGGATTTTATGGACAGTGTAGAGGCCAAATAACCCTATGTTTAGTACCGTGTAGAGGCCAAATAACCCTATGTTTAGTACCGTGTAGAGGCCAAATAACCCTATGTTTAGTACCGTGTAGAGGCCAAATAACCCTATGTTTAGTACCGTGTAGAGGCCAAATAACCCTATGTTTAGTACCGTGTAGAGACCGATGAACCCCATGTTTAGTACCGTGTAAAGGCCCATGAACCCTATGTGTAGTCACGTGTAGAGGCCGACGAACCCTGCGTTTAGTGCTGTGTAGATACCGGAGCACCTGATCTAGTCTAATACTATCGGTCCACATCCGAGAGAGGCATTTTGTAATTAGTTTTTTAACCATCTTCCTTATCAGTAGCTTTTTTTAAAAAAAGACAGCCTTATCGGACAAAACAAACTTTGATTTTTCTATTAATAAGCATGACTTTTGCTTCTTAAAATGCCAATACTTGCGTTCAGTTGTATAAAAATGTGTGCGTTTAATGTACTTATATAAGTTTTTTGTGACTCTTTCAATTTGTACCTTATATAACATAAAAACATCGTATTCCATTACGACACAGATTACACAAATACTCTAATTGTTTATTAGTGAGACTTAATTACAAAGAATTAGATGGGAGGCGACTGCAAGAGTACCGCCACAGGGCTTTTAACCTCTATACTCTATAAAGATACTCCCCTAATTATATATTTGCTAATTAAATAATTCCTCCCTGAGCCGGCGCCGTCAATTTCGCTAATGATGATTACTGCGCCCACCCCACGATTTGGGAATATGGAATAAGGACCAATTAACGGCAAGAGTGTGCCTCAAAATGGCCCCCCACCCCATGCGTGTAATACTCACAACAGAGGTTATAAATCTCTACTTAACAATGAGTCAACAACCACTTTTTGAATTAAAAATATCGTAATGGGGGGGTGGGGGGGGGGGGGGAGTGAAAACAAAAAAAAAAATGCCTGGAGATGTCTATATGAAGCGTGTCACGTGTCAACACGTCATTACGTCCTATTGGAGGAGAACTCGATGACCGCATGTCATGAACCAAAGTACCCCTACCGTCCCTCGCGTGCTGTGGGCCGCCCGTGTACACACACAATCCCCTCTTATTATTCTGCACGACAACACTCGAATTTACCCGAGTGGGAGATGAGAGAGAGGGGCGGGGGAAATCCGATTAAGCCTTGTCCCTTATGCATACAAATCCGAGGCATAATTTTATACCGATGTCATGAGATTGGGAAATGTTAGTTTTTTTTGTGTTGTTAATACATACAATATACGGTAATATGCAGTTTCCGGTTTTTTTTTAATAAAATGCATATTTCCAAATCTCTAGTGCATGGGTTGGGTTTCTTTCTTGTGAGTGTTAAATACAAAAGTATTTAGAGTTTTATAAATGCTACTAATCATTCCTAATGCCGCTTTTACCTTTTCGATATGTATACTATACACGTCTAGAAAAAAACCAATTCACAAGTTAGTATACATGTTCCCCGAGAAGTATGTTTCGTATAATAAGTATAATACTAACGTGCTGTGCGTCGTCCCTCCCCCCCCCTTTAGACATGTATGGTATACAACATATCGCAAGTGTAAACGCGGTGTAACAGTTCTGGACGAGCCTGTTATTTACTGATTATTCTGTTATGTAGTAAAAAAATCCACTTAATTCAAAATAGACTTTTTTTTTCTTGTTGTCATTTTAAATTCTGAAAACGTCTGTCTGTCTGTTTGAGTATCTAGGGAAACGGGGCGTCTCGAAGGGATTGCTGGATCCTATGCCAGCTTAAGGGAAGATTACTCTTCTGTCTTCTCTTGAAGGGACACAATCGTGTTCAGTAGACGATATAAAAATGTGTGTAATAGTTTAAAAACACAATGTTTTGTTAGTTTCTTGTGGCGGGTGTTTTATTTCGTTAAAGAAAATTTGCAGCGTTTCCATTGCATCACTTGTGTTTATCTTGTCACTTGTTAGTGTTTCATAGATCTACCAAAAATATATAGGCTTAAAATTTACCTAACTGTGCGGCATTACGCACAATGTAAACCTAAAACCATGACCAACTGATGCGGCATTACGCACAATGTAAACCTAAAACCATGACCAACTGATGCGGCATTACGCACAATGTAAACCTAACCATGACCAACTGATGCGGCATTACGCACAATGTAAACCTAAAACCATGACCAACTGATGCGGCATTACGCACAATGTAAACCTAAAACCATGACCAACTGATGCGGCATTACGCACAATGTAAACCTAACCATGACCAAATTGTGCGGCAATACGCACAATGTTGGTCTAAACACTACATTATGTTGCGGCTTTTCGCTAATGTAAGCCTAACCATGACCAACTGTAGGAAAATATAGGTCTTTTGTAACATGGCATTAGTAAAGTTTCTAAAATATTTGTATAATTTACATTTCTTTTATAATAAAATTCTTGAGACACAACTCTTTAATTGGCAGGGTTTCGTTAAAAAGTTTTTCATTTCTCTAAACTATGGTACTGTTAAAAGTGATGACACCGCTATAAAGGTAAACTCGACAGTGCCAACGACATAGTTCACACCGATATACAGGTGAACCCTACATTACTATTAATATAAAATCTAGTCCACACCTCTACAAAGGTGAACTCTAGAGTACCAATAGTAGAGTTGACACGGCTCTACAGGTAAACTCTACAGTACCAATAGTAGTTGACACCGCTCTACAGGTAAACTCTCAAGTACCACCAATATTCAAGAGTTCACACCTCTATGAATGGGCAGCATGTAGCTGCAAATTTCCCCATTCACCCACCCATACCGTTACAAGTCTTTGTCCACCATACCCCCTTTATGTTGACCGCTGGTGTTTCTTTATCCCTGGGTCAGCCGAGAAGGTCATTGGTCAGCCACCGCTTCGCTTATTCTCATGAATATTTATTTTCACATTTCCCCTCTACCCCCCTTCCCTTTCTCTCCCCCCCCCCCCCCCCGTGTGACCACCGCGGACTGACCATGACCCAGCCCATTTTTTTTCTCGCTGTTCATTCACGCTAAAGGAAGTCCAGCTGTCGGTTTGTAGTTAGCGGCGATCAAGGACGGACACGATCTGCGGACACAAAGACGTGCTATGTAGGCAATAACGGCCCCACCACCCGCTTCTCCACCCCCCTCCTCAAAACAACCCACCCCTGTAGTGTTGTAATACGGTTGTACAATTCACGGATAACACCTCCTGTGTGTCCCCGTATCACATTTTTGCCTTCTCGCCGAGTCGCAATTTATTTGATGTTGCGGGTAATCTCAGAATAACCACCCAGCCCCTTACGGGAAAATCCGATTCCGAATTCCGTCTTCGCGTTTCTTTTCCCCATTCAATTGGCCGTAAATCTAACTTCAAAGCAGTCATTCACACTCTCATTAGCATATTAGTCCCCCAGTACCTGACTTGATCGATCTCACTGGGTAGTATTGTTCCCTAATGGACGGTCCGTTCATTAAGGTGATTGATTTTAGCTTATCTTCTCCTGACTTCTTTGGTTGTTTTGGATCTTACACAAATGTATTCTCTTGTTTCCTCTCGTGGGGGGGAGGGTATCTTTAATGTAAGAGAAAAGATAAGTGTGTCTGGTCTTTGAATCATTATTTTTTCCAATTTTAAAAGAGAATAAATTAGAACTTCTATAAATCCAATTAGTTTTTTTTAACCCATTAATTTTAAACTATAAATAGAGACAATTTTTTTTTAGTTTGAAATCTTAAGCTAAGTTTTTTCTTCAAAAGGTAATGTGGGAACAAAGTTTTAAAAATTAACTTCCTGTAATTCCTGCACCCAGAGGATAAGGACCCTGTCACTGACCTGCAGTCAGTACCTGGTCACTAATAACACCTGTCCCATCTTGTGCTCACAACGCAGCTAATCTGCTGGACACCAAACTCTAATTCCAATATTGACAGAGATCAATAAACTCTTGAGGAATGTCTGGGAATTTGCTCTTTGTTTTCCTAAGTGAAATATTTTTAAAATGCAGTTTTTTAAGTAGTGCACTTTTAAAAGCTAATAAACATGGATATAAAAACAACTTTCTTCACCTGTTTTCTTACAGAACATATAATGGCTCATTGGCTTTTGAAACTTGTGTAGTGTTGTTGTTATTTTTTTTTATGTCATTTGCCTTTCTATGCTTAAAAATTTAGTAGGGATAGTAGAGATTTTTTTATGCCCTCAGCATTTTTCTATGTAACGTGATATATTACATTGCCTTAACCCTAGATCTTTTTAATCTGTGAATCTACTAAATTATTCAATTTTTGTGTTATTCTAGAAAAATAATTGTGTATTATCTCTAAGTGATGCCAGAATTATATTTTTAAATTAGGAAAGCTTCATCAATAAACCTAAATATTTGAAAGTAAAAACAGCTTCAAACTCTCTAAATATTTAAAGGTTTTATGAATAATTTTTACATACCATTAAAGCATGACAAAAGGTTGGCAGATAAGGTTGAAATTAGGTTGTTGCACTGTGCTGACTTGTGTTAAGGAGAGGAAATTATCAGTTATTTCATGTTTCAAGAACTAAAAAATGTCTGTTTTAATTAATTTAAAAAAAAAACAGTAGTGAAAAATATAGTACATCATATAAAAATTATTTTCATCTCATTCAATGTAAATACAATGAAGAATTAAAATAAAATTAGGAGTTATATATAATGTGGATCTAAACGTAAACCTAACTTAACTAAACCCCCATACATCTTTATAGCACAACTAAATAATTTAAATACCTCTCAGAACACCAGCTTCACTAGGTAAAAAACAACACTTTTCAAACAGTCAGTCAGCTTCATCAACACTGTTATGAAATGATGAATGAACAGATATTGTAAGGGATTTACACAGTATTTTTTACTAGTATTATTTTTTCTAGTATTATCTATAACAAGTTTTAAAATTTCTCAAATTTCAGATGGTGTTACAGAGGTAAAAGCCACATGTCGTCTCTGGGTGCGATTGGTCACTTTGGATATGCTGCACAGCGCGGTGACCATCAGGCTCAACAAAATGACCCAGACTGCGTTCTTGTCGCCCCTGCTCAAGTTTTTCGTGGATGGTCTGGCGAACATCCTGGAGATTGACGAGTCCAACATTTTTGTCATCAACATCGAAGACGACACGGATGTATCCTCACAGATCCTCAACGTCAGCGTGTCCATCCGTAAGGAGTCGGTCATCTTCCAGGGCCAGACCAAAGATATCTTCTACACGCCCGAGTACATCAGGGAGGTCATCTACCTGCACCGCACTCTGCTGGCCAACTTGTCCACATCGCAGGTGAGATTAGCCGCAGGCAATGTTTTTATCACCTTGTTTATCTCAGGTTTTCTAATCCCTCATTAAAACTTGTGTGTGATTGTCTCAAGTTTCATCCAAAGTCAATTTTTGACATTTCAACTTTTTAAAAATCCCTTTTGGAGACTTTATTTGTTTAATGATAATGCATCAGAAAACATATAGAAGACTTTGAAAAATGAAAATTCAAATTAAGTAAAGGACTATTGGCAATATATCAGTTGCCTTGTCTAATAGTAATTCTTATTATTATTCTACCTAAGTGCATCTTTTATTTCTTAGAATTTTTTTGTATTCAAGATGCTAATAAATATTTTTTTTAATAATGAATGAACAGAAAATTTAAGTACCAACATGCTAAAACCAGTAATCTAGAACTTAAAAACAGTTTGTATTAATTGCTAAAATTATACTTATTATAGTTTGACTGATCAGCTCCTTTAGTTTATCACACAGATCAAATTATTCTAAAGGATTATCTTTAGCCATGCCTTTTATGATTACTACAAATATCTAATTAAAACAGACAAGTAAATTTTGTGTTAGATTGAGGTCAGATTATGCCCCTCCGTAGATCCACTGGCTTGTTAGGTTTTAATCTAGTATTTCTTTTGTGTGTGGTTTTATAAGGATTTAAGGTATCAGCTACATCTTAATTAGTTTCTGTACTTTATTTAGTACAGATTTAATCTTGATAGTTCTATGTATTATATTTATAGCCTACAGATAACAAAAAAAGGGCAATGAAAAATCCTAAAAACTTGTTCATGCTTGAATTGTTGGAACACTGTAATTTTATATAATCATTAATGAATGGTGCTAATTAATTATTCATTTTTAATTTAATTTTAACGAATCTTTTATCCATTTTCAAAGATTGTTATAGTATTTGTGTTATTAACTGGCAACATCAAAATAAGCATTGAAAAATTTGGTAACTTTAAAACATGTGCACTGTTATACATTTGATGGCATTAACTGATTCACAGAATCACATCTTATTCTCTGTGTAAAATCTATTTTAGTTATATTAAAGAGCAAAATAATATTTTAAAACATTATTATACCTATTTTTGTAATATTTCTTTGAAACACTATTACACATTTCTGTAGGTTCTTCCTGAGAGTGTAATATTACTCCATAACTTTACTTTACATATTCCCATAGGTCCTTCACTACAATGTATTATTACTCCATAACTATACTTTACATATTTCCGTAGCTCCATCCCGAGTGTAACATTACTCCATAACATTACATTACCTATATTTCATAGGTCTTTCCCTAGATTGTAATATTGCTCCATAAAATTACTTCACATATTTCTATAGACTCATCCCTAGAGTGTAACATTACTCCATAACATTACATTACCTATATTTCATAGGTCTTTCCCTAGATTGTAATATTACTCCATAAAATTACTCAACATATTTCCATAGACCCATCCTAATAGTGTAATATTACTCCATAACATAACTTTATGTATTTCCTTAGGTCCTTCCCTTTGATGACAACCTCTGCCTCGTGGAACCGTGCACCAACTTTGAGGTCTGCAGGTCCCTGGTAATGCAGGGAGTGGGCCGGCCATTTATATCTTCTAGAACTGTCCTCTTCAGGCCCGTCCACCCTACACAGATCTTCTCTTGTGTTTGTCCTGATGGTTTTGCAGGTAATTTTCTATTTTTTATTGTTTGGTTTAGTCACCTGACGTAGAGAGTACATTGGTTTAGGTATGCTTTTGTGAAATTTGTAATTGTGATTATAATAAAGAAGTAAATATGTTCATATTCCTAATTTTGGATGATTTCTTAAATATCTAGAGGAAGATCAAATATATTTTGATCCATTCTGTTGTGGCTGCCCCCTAGCACACATATTTTATCCAGTTTGTTTGTCCCTAGGACAAATAGTTTTTTCCATTTTTGTTGTGGCTGTTCTCTTGGACAAATATTTTATCTGTTTTGTACGTCCTCTCTAGGACCAACAATTAAATTATCAAAATGTTTGTCCTCTAGGTCAAATGTTTTATCTATTTAGTATGTCCTCTTCATCAAATATTTTATCTATTTTGTTGTGGCTGACCTCTAGGATCAATGTTTTATCAATTCTGTATGTCCTTTTGAACCAATGTTTAATCCACATTGTCCTTTTGGACCACTGTTTAATCCACATTGTTTGTCCTCTAGGACCAATGTTTTATCAATTTTGTATGTCCTTTTGTACCAATGTTAAATCCACATTGTTTGTCCTCTAGGACCAATGTTTTATCAATTTTGTATGTCCTTTTGGACCAATGTTAAATCCACATTGTTTGTCCTCTAGGACCAATGTTTTATCAATTTTGTATGTCCTTTGGTTCAATGTTCAATCCACAATGTTTGTCCTCTAGGCATGAACATGACAAAGATGTGTGACACTGAGATTGACCTGTGTTACAGTTTCCCCTGTCAAAACAACGGCCTGTGTCTCAGACATGAGAGTGGCTACACCTGTCAGTGTCAGCCTGGGTTCACAGGTGAGTCGTCCGCTAATCTTGGGTTCACAGTTGGGTTTAAGGTTAATCTTGGTTTGCAGGTGGGTTTAAGGTTAATCTTGATTCACAGGTGGGTTTAAGGTTAATCTTGATTCACAGGTGGGTTTAAGGTTAATCTTGGTTTACAGGTGGGTTTAAGGCTAATCTTGGTTCACAGGTGGGTTTAAGGTTAATCTTGGTTTACAGGTGGGTTTAAGGCTAATCTTGGTTCACAGGTGGGTTTAAGGTTAATCTTGGTTTACAGTTGGGTTGTAGGCAAATCTTGGGTTCACAGGTGAGTCTAGGCTAATCATGGGTTCACAGGTGGGTTTAAGGTTAATCTTGGTTCACAGGTGGGTTGTAGGCAAGTCTTGGTTCACAGGTGGGTTTAAGGTTAATCTTGATTCACAGGTGGGTTTAAGGTTAATCTGGGGTTCACATGTGGGTTTAAGGCTAATCTTGGTTTACAGATTTATTTATGAGAACAATTAAAAAATTACATCAGAATAAACTGACCACAAGAACTGACCACAATAACTGTCCATAGAACTGACCACCAACATTACTGACCCTGACTGACCTCAAATACTTACTGCCACTACTGACCACAGTAACTGACCAGCACCTCAACTCCGCAGGTACAACATGTCAGTACAACATGACAGCCATATACGACAGCTTGACCTGTCCGTCTGAACAATGCAAGGGGTCATCTCACTGCATGCCCCAGTCGTCTGGTGGTTTTGTGTGTGCTGACTGCCCCCAGGATGGATATCATGACAAGCAGTGCCAGCTCAGGACTAAGAGCTTTTCTAAAGGATCTTATCTCACGTTTCCTTCTTTGAAGTCCAGGAACAGGTTTACTATTCAACTGCGGTGAGTTTTTAAAAAAATATTTTTATTTTGTTTTATTTCATTTTTAGCATACTGCTTTTTTAAAAAACATTTATTTGTTTTGTTTTATTTTTTAGCTTACTAGATCTATATTTTTAAAAAATATTTATTTATTTTGTTTCATTTCATTTTTTAGCATGCTATATTTAAAAAAAAATATTTATTTATTTGTTTTATTTCATTTTTTAGCAAACTATATTTTTAAAAAATATTTATTTTGTTTCATTTCATATAGCTGTGTCTGAAAATTGTTTTTAGCACGTTTTGTTTTCTCACCTGAAATAGATTTTTCTATTTTCTTTTGTTTTGTTTTGTTTTATAAATAATAATTTTCTTTATTTCTTTTTTTGAAATTATCTTCAAATTAGCTTTTCCATTATTTCACTTTCTTTAAAATATTTTTCATTTTGTGTGTGGTTTTCTGTTTTCCTTAACAGTTGAAAAATACAAAATCCCATTATATATTACACTTTACACATATCCCAGCTGTACAAAATCCCATTATATATTACACTTTACACATATCCCAGCTGTACAAAATCCCATTATATATTACACTTTACACATATCCCAGCTGTAAGCTACTTAATCCTCCCTTTGTTTATTCCCCGTGAAACAAATGCCATTAATAATTTCCTTCCAAGCTTCCTTTCTCTTCTCTAATTCTTTCCAACCCTTGCCAAAAATTGACCCATGGTCATGTCTCAGTGCCAATAGTTTATGGATCGTGTTGGGGTCCATTCCCCACATGGGCCCGTGCTACAACAACCTAGTGGTGTGTGGGTTAAGCTTGTTGATGATTCTACTTATGATTGAGTTACTGGTATCATATACAGTTTAATTCTCATAATTTAATAACACTTTAAGAGTAAATGTCTGAATATGGGTTTTATTATTTTTATGGGAAACATTTTTTTCAAATGTCTTATGTCCCTTGATATATTTTTAAATAAAACATTTTGACATCGTCAACTAAATTAGCTATAGCTCAATACTCCTGTAGATCATATAGATCATATAGATCAGCTATGTGATATGTAATTAGACATAGAGAGATCATATAGACTTGATCAGCTACATGATACTGTATGTAATTAGACAGAGAGATCATATAGACCAGATCAGCTACACAATACTGTATGTAATTAGACATAGAGAGATCATATAGATTTGATCAGCTAAATGATACTGTATGTAATTAGACATAGAGAGATCATATAGACTTGATACTGTATGTGATTAGACATAGAGAGATCATATAGACTTGATCAGCTACATGATACTGTGTGTGAATGTGATTGGACATCGAGAATCATTTCCTGAATTCTTTGCACTACATATACAGATCTAGTCAGCATATTAAGCAATGAAAATAATCTTGGTGTGTAGGTCACAAGTGAAATTATATTAAATTAGAACAAAAACTATAATCCTACACAGATAACTATCAGTATTGACGAAACAATTCTTGTCTTAGTTCACAATAAACCACTCAAGTTGTTTAAAATTGTCGGAGATCTGTTGAGTTATAAGTTTTCAATGCATGCTCCCTCTTTCTTTATATTTTCTTTCTGTCTTTGTAATGCATGAGAAAAAAATGTGCAGGTCTTTTTTTTCGCTTTGCGATTTATTTTATAACAGGATAATGGTTTAAATTAAATTAACTCTTTGTGTGTTAGACTCTGAAAGCAGGGAGCGTATATTGTTCGCTGGTTGTGAAGATTAAAAATTACCCTTTAAAGTTGTAAATTAAAAATAAAAACGATAGAGTTTCAAACGGTAAGAGGAAACTATTGTTATAAGAGAAAAATATTCACACACCGTGACGGCAGTTTAATCTATCAAACACAGACCTCTTCACTGTGACCTCTTTCAGCACTTGCCGAGGGCCAACAATTTTTTTTTCTCTTCTTTATAAAACTCGTGGGCTCCAGATTAGACTACAGCGGTAAGGGGCGTCTAAGGGGAGAGAATTCTTACACGACTTAAAGCCTTGGCAATTGTCCAATTCCAGATGGTGCACCATTGATCGAACCAGAACACAGACTTTATGAAAAGTGCTCTAATGCATAACTAAAGTAGTCTCCCCTTTTTTAGCAAAAAAAAAAAAGGGGGAGGGGGATCGCTTTTTTCTTTGATGGCTGTATTCGAGGAGCGCCCGGACGTACGAGGATTTGTCTGTGTGGCATGTATGAGTTATGGTTCTTGGGAGGGGGGTGGACAAGAATTTTTTTAAAAATCGATCATCGTATAGATGTTGTGCACGCGAGATAAAACCTAATGACCGTATTTAGTATTGTAATAGATCTGTGTCTGTCATTCAGTCTGCCTAGTCTGTCTTTCACTCAGTCCGACTGTATTTCAGTCAGTCAGCTTGTCTGTCTCTATATCTATCTCTTTATATCTAATAATTGTATAATCTATCTATACACCCAAGCTCTGCATCCATTCTTTATATGATCAGTAAGTATGTATATATATGTATATATGGATTATATATATATATATATATATATATATATATATATATATATGACCAATATAATGAAATGCGTAATGTAACAGTTTAATCTTTTTTTTAACCGCATCCTGGGCCGCTGCACGATAAAGCAATATCAGAATGTAAAAAAAAATGTATCTACGTTTTCTTTTCCTGGTGCTTAATCAAGGAAGGCCACAATAAACCCACGACATCCATGTATCTGGTTCAATGCCAATGTTTTTTTTATTATTAGAAATAAAGGGAGAGAAGGAGTTCTTAAAAAAATGAAATGAATATATGTGATCTCTCCCGTTCCCACTATCCAGAATCGAGTTCAGTAAAGGAGGGCCACAATAAATCCACATGCATGTATTAGATCCAATGCTAATGTTTGTAATTATTGGAAGGTGGATGGAAGAGGACGTTTTTTAAATTGCGATAAAATCATGTGGTTTTCTTCCCCTTCCTGTTCATGAAGACATTTTCTCTTCTGGATTAGCAATTTGTTCTCAGAGTTTCTTTCAGGCGCCTCTTCGAACGAAACAGGATTTATAGACACCAATGTTGGAAAATCGTAGTTTTATCCCCTGGATTTTCTGAACGTTATATATTTCCAATAAAAAGAATTTATTTTACATTCGTTTCCCTCCCCTTACTTTGCCCTATATTAATTGCAAATTACATGCCTTATCTATTTATCTCCCCCCCCCCCCCACCTCTACTTCCAAATGTTATATTGCGTTCGCATATGACAGCATGCAATTATTGTATTGATTTGAATATATAATCGAGCACACAAGTAAAATATACATGGTAGTAGAAATAAATATAAGATATCCAATAATTTTTGTTGCCTTGATTAAAATATTAGCATCTGAATACGCAGAATGCTCTAAGAAATAATTGGTCATGAAAATTAAATGCTCAAAGACTCATGAAATCTTGTAAATGTAGAAATGGTATTGAAATGGTAATGGTGTAAAAATTGTCATGATATTTTGATGTAGAAGTTTGCCTTGTTTCTGCTACACCGAAATTAAATGCTCAGGAAATACATCGTTCATCGGATTTTATTTCATTTCCACTATTTTTGTAGACTTTATACACCTAAACAGGCTGTCATTGTCACTTACATGCTCACTATATATTTAATGGCCAGCGATGGCGAATTCGGCTTTATAGAGTGTTATCCATTGATAAAAAGAATTAGTCTTGAGAAGATATTAGCTCTGGTTATTATACATTGTGTACGCTAGTCATCGATTTAATATGCCACATTTTTAACCAGTGGCGAAAGCAGTGAATTTGTTATTGTGGAAGGGAGCTTGGTGGTGGCAGAATATTCGATTATGGTTTTGTTAAAGTAAAATTGTTGTTTTAATGTCATTCAAAATTTTAAAATTATAAACATAAAGGGAGACGAACGCAGTGTTGCCAATAGTTGTAACTTAAGACTACTTTCATTAGGGACCCTGTGTGTGTGTGGAGGGGGGGGGGGCTTAACACGTCTCTGCCTGTGCCAATGTAACCATAGCTTTTTTTTTTAAAAAAAGGTACACCTAGGCTGATGTTGCTGTATCCTATATGAAATAATATACATAAGCGCCGTCTTATCCCAGTTGTGTCTGCTAACATATCCCAATCCTTTACCACTGTAACGAGATTTCTTGAAGGTGCACTTAGGCTAATGTCGCTATATCCTATATCAAATAATGTATAACATCGCCATCTTATCAAAGTTGTGCTTGCTACACTGAAGCTCCTAGTCTACCACATTGTAACGACACCAGCGGGACATCCCACGGCCTGAGATCCGTTAGACACACCAGCGTACCGTCTGGGGTGGGGTGTACGGTAACGCTCCGGTGATCTTTTAAAAAAAGTTGGGATCAGCTCTGGAATGTCTGTCCCGTTTTGTGTCATAGACCAGTGTGCGACAGTACAAAAGTGGATCCATTAAGGCGGCTCGCAGGTTCTTAAGGCGGCTCGCAGGTTCGTACGGCTGGCTTCATTTGGTTGGTTGGGCATCATCTCTCCTCTTTACAGCAGTTGCTTTGTTACTTACAAATTGTAGGTTTTTTTTTAAAATAAAAATATATTCGTTTAGATTGTCATAGTGGATAGTAAAAGTCACATTTTTAGTTGAGCGTAGATGCGTGGACCCCCCTCCCCGGGCATCTTTCTAGAATAAAATTTCCCCCATTGTGGGAGGAGGGGGGGGGGGCTCCTATTTGAAGCTATACGTTTCCTAAATTACCAAAAGGGGCTCATATGCTTGCCAAACTGTATATTAATGAAGCTCACTTTTTAGAATATGTATTTGAACGTGGAAACCCCCCCCCCCTCCCACCACTCCCCCGCCGATAAGCAGCGATCAATCACAATGAGGCAGCCCGACTTGGCTTGGAGTGGAAGACTGAAAACGAGGCACCTCTGGAAGGTAAATAATAAACGGTGCGGCTACAAGAAGGGAGATAAGGCCGTTGTTGACTTTAGCGTG